GTAGGAATCAGCTGACAATGATTCATTTATAAATCAAAATGTCCACAAAATTCTGTCCTGAAGAACTTTTTTTCTTTCCATATCCCCGTGCTTTATGAAGCACCTTCATTCTTTAAGGGATAATTCAGGTTTTTTGACAGGAGGTTATGTGAAACGTTCACCATCTGTTGCTAAGATGCAACAGTGTAACTACTGTCAATGGGCCTTCTGCTATAAGAAAGGTCCGATGACATAGCTGAGAAAAAGGAGTTCCGGCACGATACTGGGGTGTAAATAATCAAAGCCTGTTAAGCTAGAAAAACTATGCATGTGTTTCAACATTTTCAAAACTTCCAGGTGCTATTTCAGACCTTGATATCAAGGCTGACATAGCACCTATAGTGGCCCAAGGATATTGGGCCATTATCAACCCACTGTGTGTGTGTGTCTGTGTGTGGTGATGAATTAAAACAGCTTTTTTAATAGCCACCCCCATACATCTTAAGAGCATTCTCCATGTTATCCTTTGTAAACATTATTTTCTGTCTTTCATTTTAATTAAAACAAAAAGCTCATCTACTTGTTTACGACAGCTGAAATGAGGGGCTGTGGATGAGCATGAGCTTGAGCCCATACCACAAAGTGATCAATCCACAATGTCAATCAGGATCAATGATGCCACAAAGCTGGTTATCAACTCACTAAATTAAACCAGCTTTAACCGGTCATGAATCTATGAACACGCACATATAAAGCGGTGGGTTCAAGGTAGCAGAACCATGATTATAGAAGAGAGAGGACTGTATTTCTCTTGTGAGGAATAAAAACTAATCTTAAAAAATACAAAGAGGAAAAAACAGTCTCAATAAAAAGTCAAACTTGGTGGTGGCATAAAAATACACACCAAATGGTGTGGCTAAGGCTTGCTGATGGCGTAAACGAGCAACTTTACACATCATTTAACACAGCTATGCATCCCAATCACTGCAACATATTAATCATGTCTCATCGATGTAACCCCCCTCAGGGGTGAGGAGGACTTGGGAGCAGATAAAAATAAAACACAAAATATAAATTCATCTGGCTAGTTGGAATTTTTTACTTCAATAATATTTTGACCCTAACAAAGCTGGGGGCTGATTGTATCATTTTAATACAAGAACTGATCAGTCTAAGCGAAATCATCTTGATTTTTGAGCTGTGTCATAACACATCCTCAGTCTGAATGAATAAAATATTCACACTGAATGCCCTGTTCTGGACAAAGTTGAATGTGCTGTCAACAAAATCACAAACGTTGTCAACGGAAATGAAATTTATTAACCAATGGAGGCCTGGCTTTGAAGTGATTCACAAAAATTAAGGTGGAAAAACGCACTACAGGCTAATTCAACTTTGATGTAATGTCTTTAAAACACATCAAAATGAGGCCTGGTATTGTGTGTGCCTATATAATCTCCCTGCAATGCCTAGGTAGCTCCTGATGAGGTGGCAGATGGTTTCCTGAGGGATCTCCTACCAGACCTGGACTAAAGCATCTGCCGTTCTCCAGGCTACCATCACCGGGTCGGGTTTGGTCGCTCCATCACCCGCTGGCTCCCTGCCCTAGTCCGCCGGGGTTTCCGGACCAGCCCTGGAGCTCCCGGCTCGGTTCGACTGCCCAGTGTGTTTTGATTTAGAAATTCAGCTGAAAAAATTTTTAAGGCATGAAAAATAGGACATGTCCGGGAAAAGAAGGACGTCTGGTCACCTTACCATATCAACAATTTCGATGTTTCAGTGAGTGAGTGCTTGTTGCTATGATGCGTCTTTGCTCAGCAGCTTCTCTTGTCGTAAACCAACCAATCAGTGCACAGCTCATCTAAATACTCATGAGCATACCATGACAGGAAGAAAACCTGTCGTTTCATTCTAGGACTTATAACCAGGCTTGCATTAGTGCTCATAGAACAGCAAATATGCCATTTTCAGCCCATCCGATGTTACACACCCTTTTCAGAGACCTTAAGGGCCAGCACCAAATAGCCTATATAATAATTCTATGACCCCTTTAATTGTCCTTGTTGTCATCAATTCCACTTTACGAACTCTTCCATCTGATTCTGGAATAGCCTTTGTGACCACTGGCAAAGGCTAGTTGTTGAGGCAGCTTGGTTGTCTTTGAGGAGGACAATGTCACCATCTTGCAGGGTCTGGTGGGACCTTGTCCATTTTTTGCGGCTTTGTAGGGTTGAAAGGTACGCTTGTCTCCAGTGGTTCCAAACAAGTTGGATACACTTGTCTCCGTTGCTTGGTGAGTAGGTCCCTGTCTGTGAAGTCACCCGGAGGTGGTGGGAAGCCGACCTTCTAAGTTAACAGCATCGATGGTGTGAGGATGTATGGATTCTCTGGATCATTCGATACTGCAACTATTGATCTTACATTTAGAATTGTGGTCACTTCTGCCATTAGTGTGCACAGAACTTCATGAATTAGGTGAGTGCTATGATCACAGAGCATTGAATCAAGGATTCTTCTGGCTACCCCAATGATGCGCTCCCATGAACTCCACATCCTTGTTTGTGCAAGTACCTCTGCATTGTGCTGTCCTGTTGGTCTGCGCTCAGCCCAAGTTCTTTACAGGCCTCAATGAAAATTTTGCCGCAGTCTTTCCTCAGTTGTTTGGCTGGTCCTCTTATGGCAAAGAAACACCTCAACATGTTTATGTCACTTGAGGTAATCACATCAATGTGAACTGCTCTGAAACTCATGCAGCAGAATAGTATGGCCCAGCACTTGCTCTCAGGTTGGTGGAGACATGCCAGGGTCCGAAAACATCTTGGACCACATACGTGAAGGGAGTGCAGGTTGTAAGGAGCTCTGCGGGCAAATCTGCCATTTGTTGTTCCTGCATCCATGCTCTAAGTCTGCGACGGGTGATGCATTTGTGAATAGTTGCCTCCAAGGATCCTGTTAAAGTGAGGAGGATTTGTCCCCTTGGAAGTAAAGGCTGTAGCGCCCCAGGGGCCTCCTCATCGGTTCTTTTCCTGGGAGCAAGTTATTTACTACTCTTAACTCAAACTGGGTAAAACCATATAAAAAAGGACTATAAGTAAGGCGTGCTGCTGGAACAGACCAGGATGGCAGGTCAGCCGGATTGTCTTTGGCGTTAACGTAGTGTCATTGTTCAAGGATGGTAGATTGGCGCATACGCTGGACACGATTGTGGATGTACACATAGAACCATCTGGACTGGTTGTAAATTTATCCAAGGACAACTTTGCTCTCAGTGTAGAACTTGGTGGCTTCCAGCTTTTAGATCCAGTTCATCCCGAATCAGCTCAGCTATTTCCACTGCTAATATTGCTGCACACAGTTCAAGTCTGGGAATGGTTGGGAGGAAAGTTTGGCCTTTGCCATGACGTCCACTGTGTCTCCTTGGATGGCTTTCAAGTAGGCAACAATGGCCTTCACAGATGCATCGCAAAAGACTTGGAGTTCTACTCGCACAGCCTTGGTTGGACAGGTACCTGTGTACATCTTATCCTAGGTATGTGAAAGTGCCTTGAAGTGAGTTTCTCGAAGCTTCCCACTTGCCTAACTTTTACGCATTTTTCCAATTTTTCCAATTTCCCTCTTTTTCACAGAGAGTGCTGTCTTTACAGAAACATTTTGAACAAAAACAGCCCTAAAGCTTCATTACCCTATCGGTCATGAATCAAATGGTGCAAGAATGACATCGGTATGACTTATTATGCCAGGGTTACAGGCATTTGTTTGGCACATCATACAGGAGATTAAGCCAGGATAGTAATGGAGTTGGTGGCCAAACATCGCATCACTGCCTCTTCCGAACTGTTGGCTTTACAAACATCAATCAGGCACATATCATCAGACCTTGCTAGTGCGGAAATTGAAAGCATTTTTTTTTATATCATGTATGGTTTGGCATCAATTCGGTCAAATTTCAAACAGAAACCTTTCAAAATGACCCCATTTTTACATGGTTACCATGGCAACATAGTTTTTTGTAGAAACATGAAAGTTAATATAATCATTCCTTATAGCCAGCATTGTCACAGTTAAACAGACATATCAGTATCAACTATACTTTTTGATTTTTTAACTGTGATTCAACACAAACTTTTACAGATTTTGCACCTTTTGCCGATTTTCTTTTCTTTAAGAGTACCGTGTCTGTTTAGAAATGTTTTGTACAAAAACAGCTCTAACACATTGTTCCCCTATCTGTCCTGAAATGAAAAGTGAAAGCATGACATCAATACGCCTTATTAAACTAGAGGTATAGGCGTTTGTTTGGTACAAGATCATACATATGATAAAGCAAAGAATTATAAGGCGAGGCTGTGGCTGAACAAATCCAGGTGTGCCAGGTTCAGGTGGAGAGCATCAGAGATGGCATCCTCAGTGGAGCGGTTCCGTCGGTAGGGGAACTGGAACGGGTCGAATGTTGGCGGCAGACTGGAGACGATGTGGTCTTTAACCAGCCTTTCGAAGCACTTCATTATGATTGGAGTCAGTGCGACAGGCAGGTAATCATTTAGTAAGGTGACCTGAGGCTTTTTTGGGACGGGAATAATGATGGCAGACTTGAAGCATGCTGGCACTATGGATTGGTGCAGCGAGGTGTTAAAGATGTCTGTGAGGACACCAGCCCGCTGATCTGCACATTCTTTATACACCTGCCCAGGTATGTTATCAGGCCCTGGGGCCTTCCTTGGATTTACCCTACTCGGAGTTTTCCTCACTTCAGCTACGTCCAGGTTTAGTGTCTCCTCCCCCTGGCTTTCACTGCCGGAGTGTTGTGTCGTTTAGTGCTTCTAACCTCCAAAGAAGTTGTTCAGTTCATTTAGGAAGTCCATGTTTGCTGCATCTCCCAGGGGGGAGTGTGTGTTATAGTCCGTGAGCATCTGAATGCCTTTCCACATCCTCCTGGTGTTGTTGTTGTCGTGGAAAATATCCTGTATTTTCTGGCTGTGGTTCTGCTTCGCTGATCTGATGGCACGGTTTAAGTTGATATG